GCAAAGAAGCTGATTGTCAAGGAAGGCAGGCATTGCTGCAGCATGCTCACAGCTAGTGTGGTGAAAGGAAGGCCAGGTAAAAGCCTCTCTGGAAGAATAAGGAGCTCCTACCCTTACCTGGCAGCTGTGAATGCTGCTGTGGCAGGGCAGTTTCCTTACATGCCTGTGGGCCGGCCCTTTTGGCCATGCACTGCCTTACTGGCCCACATAAATGGATGGCTGTGAGTCACTCAGAGATACACATTTGTAGGAGATAAGAGCCCATGCTGGGACTGGGGGAAGGATGCAGAATGACTTTGCTGTCACAATTTAGCTAAGAAGAATACAACAGCTCTGTCAGTAGAACCTCTATCTCCCATGGGTTGTACAGCAGAGAAACAGGGTGTGAAAAGGCATCTGTTTGAATCTGCAGATACAGGATTTGTTATACACATGCTCTGAGTGTGCATAAAATAGTAACATTAATAAAAAGTGTCACTTAAACACAGAGAGAAAACCAAGCTACAAAACAAACTTTTGTCAATCTTGCTATGCTCTTTAGAATCCATTTCCTTTATACATGCTGGCCAGTTTTACCATTGACTGAAGATTTCATTACCACCAAGCTGTACTCCTTCAGAATGAACTACTGGAGCGAAATTCCTCTTACTGCTCTGTAGCTCATCTGTTTCACTCCTCTGTTTTCCAGTGCTGCCTGCTCACTGCCTTATCTTTCTCCATTTGTGATTTAAGCTGGCAGCTGCTCCTCCAGGCTCCATGTCACTGACCTTTAGGCATCTGTTTTGTTCTTTCTATGATAGCCATTTCCACAACATCTTTCATCACTTAACTGCTTTTCCCTTAGGTTTTGTTACTCATTTTTTGCTACCTGAAGTTTCTCCCATTTTGTGCCATGCTACTTCCAAGTGCAGCCTCCTGACCTGCTGGGTTAATATTTGACAGTGGCTGGGCAGAAGCAGTGGGGTTCTGCCACTCTGCTAGGCCAGCCCTCTTCTTGCTACACTGCTGCCAATGTAGCTGTGGTGGTAAGTCAGAATTTAGCTTAAGATTGGTTAAATGCTTCACTGGGATGGGATAACTATGGGTTTGTTATTGCAAGGAGATGAAAGGCATTCTCTCTACCTACTCTTTGTGTTTACTGTCCAGGCTTTTTGTGCGGGTTTGTTCTGTCATTCTCATGAGTGCTTCTGGTGGCTGCAAATTCCTAAGCGGTGAAGACCATTAAGATGCAAACTTCTTCAAATCAGTGCAGCCTGTTGGGTAACTTTTTTAAAAATAGGTTATCATGACAGTGCTTTTCACTGTGGTCACAGCCCTGGGGTTATTTTATGCCCTGATGTGAGCATTGTCATTACAAACTTGGCAATGTAGATATCCAGATAACAATGTTCTTCCTTCATCATTTGCACTGTATTCTTGAGCTTCAGGCCTTGGACTGAAGCTTGGTTCACCACAGTGTCACAGCACTGTGACATTCTTACAAATCAGTACTAGATTTTCTTTATCCAAGCCAATCTGTGCTAGGTGCTATAGAACTGTGCTAAACCTGGGACCTGAGTTGTTGAAATCTTCCTGCACAGCAGGGAAGTGGCAAATGCTGGTGATGCCTGCTTAGGCATGGGCCCACACCTCCTCTAAAAGCCTCTCCTGCCAATGATCCTGCAAGAACCACCCTCTGTCAGTATGGCTCTGACTACAAGAAGCACGAGGTGACATCCATGTTCCACTGAGGCTGCCAGTGGTGGCTGACACCAACTCAAAGGAACATAGGATTCCTTCCCTCTGTTTTCCCATCTCTTCCTCCCTCAAGGACAGGGCTTGAAGAATAGAGGTTCTAATAATGTAAATTATTACATTTCCTGTTTCACGGTGGTTTATCATCTACCTATGCAGGTTTTCTTGCTCAAAGTGTATTTTTGTTTTTTATTCATAGGTACTGGAAGAAGTAGAAAGATGCGCTAGCAACCAATAGCTCAAATTTAAATCCCTTCTCCCCTCTCTTCTACAATATTCAGGAGGAATTAAGACTTTAAGCTTCCTAAAAGGACGTGATACTAATTATGTAGCTATTATATGACAGCAAATAAATGTTATAAATACAAGTGACTGCAAACATTGCAAAGAACATCTGCCTCTGAGTGAATCTATGTGACGGTTCCATCACACACCCTCCATGCTAACACTTTTGGTGGGATAATCACTTCCCAAAGATGGCAATCATTCGATTGCTTGATATGTCCAGCAGTTTATGAAGGTTCATGGTGAATGTGGACCAAGTTAGCCAGAAGGGGCTGAGATTTCTTTTCCAGAGTTTATACTAGTATGTAGTCAAAATTTTCTAAATAATAGACCTCATTGACTTGAATTTCATGTCCTAAAAACTCAGTGCCTGTTACTAATAAATGTGGATAGTTTTGTTTCCCTGTGCTGTAGCAAGTATTTGTAATTTACGTAAACATTGTAAAATTCAGGTACAACTTCTCATACCTGCCCTTTTCCACTAGCATTGCATTATTAGTATGTCAGATTGATAAAGCATATCTGTAACGTGGCCAGGACAGTCAGACTTTGACTCCTCTGGAGCTTCTCTCATCATTTTTGCTGCAGCAGAACATGGCCTTAGGGCAGTGGTGCCTCTCTTTCTCTGTTGTCATTGCAAAAAATAATTGCAGTAGCTTTGGAGCTGCAGTACTGTTTCCAGAGGTAGCTAATGGCTGTGTTGGACATGTGAAAGTGGAGGAGAGGTACTTCCAGGGTTAGGGCATGAGGCTGGGAAGGGGTGGCTCAGATGTTGCTGGGGGCTGCTCCTTCCTCAGAGCAGGGCTTTGGCTTTAGCTTTCAGGTTAGCTGATGGGAGCTGTGTGCTGGGTCTCCTGCCAGCAAGCAGCAAGAATTCCGTCCTTGAAAACATCCACAAGGCAAAAAATGCTGGAGTTTGCTGTATTCTGGTGTGTGGGGCATAGGGCAGGCACCCACAGAGACGTCCCTGTGTGTGATGGTGCAAGAGGACATGGTGGGGGAGTGGAGAAACAGCATGATGCTGCCCACAGCCCTGCTTGCCCCAGGTGCAAGGCATTCTGAAAATGTAAAAGACAACAAGCTTATAGCACAGTGCTATTTTTGTCATGCTTTATTGGTTTCTAATTCATTTTACATCTATTTTAAGAATCATGGAAGTTCCCAAGCCATGTGTTGCCATTCTTGCAAGCAGTCCTGTTGACTTGGAGGCTCCCTCCATGAGTGAGGAATGTGGAGAGCATGGGCACCTACCACAGCCACCCCACTCTATCTAGAAGTTATCCAAGAGCTTCCTACAGGAGCCACTTACAGTGCCCAGATAGTCTCCACCCCTGACAATTTTTTATCTCATTTTATTTTGCTGTGTGTCACCTTAGTAGAATTAAATAATTATTCTATATTAAGATAACAGGTGGAGCTGCTACCTGCACTATGGAGAGATGTTTGTTTCTTTACAGAGCTTCTTATAAAGTTCTGGTGAATATTTTTACAAAAGAAAACATTTGACCCAGTTTGGCGTATTTTAAATATTTGCAAGGGTTCTACCAGGCAATGATTTTAATTCCAGTGAAGCTACTGCTAATCAGGAGACAGAGCTTATGCAGAACTCTCTCTTGCAAGCAAAAACAGGCACTTAACATAATTGCTTCATAAGAATAAGATCTAGCAAAACATTGAAGAGAATGTTTGACATTTAAACATCTGGTTAGTGTTAGTGGGGCTATTATTTTACCTTCATGCCAGGAAAACCTGCCATGTTAAAGTTTAATTTCTCAGGTTTAGAACCCATGAGCTTTGCATAAAAATAAGGGTTTATTTATATGAAAATATGCTCTGTCATAGTCAGATTTTTCTTATTATTCTTTCCCTCATTTGCCCTCAGACATGGGTGTCTGAGGCCGACACATTGTCTCAGCAAATTAAGTCAAGCTGAAAGCAAGGGTACAGTGTTAAGGCAGAGCAGCAAATAAGATTTACATTTTCAAGCAAGAGCAGTAATTAGGCCATTGCATATTTTATATCTTCATGTTTATTTTCAGAGTGGTGTATCAAAATAAGCATAGAAGTAATGAGACATAAGTGCTCCAACAAGCAGTTGGGGTTCATCAAGTAAAAACTACAAATTACTATTTGGTTTTACTGCCACCCACAGAGTTTACATCTTTAAAATACCAGCAGGCAGGTGTTGTGGCCAGAGCTAATTGGGTTTTTAGCTAGGGACGTACTGGGTTTCTGTATGACAAATTATAAAGGGAATAGGCAATACACTACTTAGCATTGTGCTGTGGACTCGAGTATGTAAGATGTTTGGTTCTTTGCAGAGCAAATGAAGTTTTGAACTGATTATACTGCTGCAGATGGTTATAACTGTTTGGCTGCAGGCAGGCAAACTTTGAATGCAGGAGTCCAGGTCCATTGCTGCTGTAGTATGAGAATGGTCTACAGGGCCCCAAGCTCTAAATTCTCACGACCCAGATTATCCTCCCTTTGGCTACAACACAGTGTTTGTATGCTTGTGTGTATTAGGTGAAGCTGCTGCTCTCCCTTGCTGTGCTGAACAGGCAATTTGGCCAGCAACCTTTATTCTTACCTGTATTTCTGCGCACAGTCTTGCAGTGTTTGCCCACACACAATGCTACTTTTCTGGCAGAAGTAATGTGGCCACAAAGTCATCTGACTGGAACTGCAATTATATGCCAGTTTAAGGTTTTCAACCATTAAATGCATGTAGTATTTCTCCCTATTTTGATATATTTCTTTACTATGAAAGTAGCTGTGTAAATTAAGTTAGATTTATGAGAAAATATGTCCCTGGAGTTAATTATCTCTTTTTTTTCTGCCCCCTTCTTTGCTTCACTCTCCCATTCCAAAGACACAATCCTTTCCTAGTACCTGATATGTACTTCATATCCAGCTACATACTGCAAGAATGGTAAGGAAACAGAACCCAGAGCATAACCCTTTGGCTTTCCTCCCCACAGATCTGACTGCACACCAGCCTTGCTACAGCTCTCACAAACAGCAAACAGGTTGGGTGTTCCCACTGCCCCCTTTTGAATTGCATCAATTTAGATTATGAGCCAGAAAGAAGAAGAAATGGAGGACAGCTCCCTGCCACTCTGTGTCACCTGCGGCCAAGTGCATTTACCGGAAGAAAACCACTTGTACAGCTACGCTGAAGAAGTGGATGATGATCTGATATGCCACATTTGCCTGCAACCTTTGCTTCAGCCATTAGACACGCTCTGTGGTCATACCTTCTGCACAGCCTGCCTTACAAACTTCCTTGTGGAAAAAGATTTCTGTCCCATGGACCGCAAGCTTGTGATTCTCCAGACGTGCAGGAAGTCCAGCATACTAGTGAATAACCTCCTGGACAAGCTAATGGTTAGCTGCCCTTTCACAGAACACTGCTCAGAGGTTGTGCAACGTGGTCACCTTGAACAGCATTTCCAAACCCAGTAAGTTGTTGTTGATAGATGTTGGTTTTTCACTCCTTTTTTTGAGCAGAGGAAAAAATATCTTCAATTAATAGTGGGCAAAATAGACAGTTAATGTAAAGAAAGAGTTGTTTATTTCACTCCCAATGAACACAGCATCATTAATTTTGAGCTGAATTTAGTCCATTTATAGTCCAAGATGTAGGCTAGATCTTACTCTTTTTTTAGAATCAAATGTATCAATGCATGTAAGGTACTTCATGCTATTGTTAGCAGTTCTGAGTGAATACTTTGTGGTTAGCTGCACAATGACAATGTGTATGTAGTCCAAAGAGATCTGCATGTTTTGGGAAGCTGAGCCATTATAAATATTTTAATAACACATTAAAGGTTTTATAATTGCCCTTTCTTCAAACATTTTTTGAATCACAAATGACCTATATGAGAAGTAGAGCAGAAAATATTCCAGTTTGGTATTGGTCTTTGAACCTGAGTGCTCCCTTTTTCCAGGTGAGCACTTACCCAGGGCACCATGGGGCTCACTGAGAGACAGTCTGGGCTCCCTCTCCAGCCTTGTCCCTCCTGAGGTAGCCAGGAGCCTCTCAATCCTGCCTCTGGGAGAGACCTCTCCAGGGAGCGGTTTGGTTCCTCTGCAATGGGAGAACAGAATGATTCTCTGTTTTGCAGAGTAAAAGCATGGGCTGCTGCTTTTGTCTTGCACGTTCTGCCTTTTGTAAGGAAGGCAGAAAGGTAAAGAGGTACTTTCATGGCTGTGATTTCTGATAGCGGACTAACACTTTGGCATAGTCTGCATAACAGCACCTCAGGCCTGAGGAGAGATGGGGTCTAAGATGTGCCCTTTTCTGTGAGCTGTATCTGTTACCCAGTGAAATTAATTCCCCAGAAGTTTGCAGGTGTAAATCATGGTGCTAGGTATGTACTTCTGCAAGTGCAACGTGAAGGAAGCCTTGAGCAGCCAGCGTAGGGCTCCAGCTGTCCTGCACAGACATGGCGGTACTGAGGACCAGAGCATGGCTGGGGAGCCAGAGGGTGGAGGTGTGCTCACACAGTGCACCCCTCACAGCCTGTGAGCCCACAACCAGAAATGGCTCTGCAGCCTGCCCTTCAACCTGTCCTCATTTGCACTGGAGACCTCATTTCCTGGATTGTCACTAGGAACTTATTCACTTAAAGATATTCACTGAGCTATGGTATCCTAACCAACAAAAAATGTGATTATTTTGCAGTACTAAAACCAAAAAAAACCCCACAAACTTTAGCAATGGGTTTATTAATCCCTTGCGAAGGTCATGAGACCATTTTCACATGCTGGAGGTTTGGTGTTTGTGGATTTGGATGCCCTTGTCCTCACATTCCTGGACCTGGCTTTCCCTGTGAGGGTACTTGTGGCTCATGGTGCAAGAGGCAGTGGCAGCAGGCCCCAGCCCAGGCCAGCAGTGCTCTGGGAGTTCCACTGTGTGTGGCTAAGGGGACAAAATAACAGAGTTACTCATAATTTTATGTCTTAGGTCAGTGCTTCTCTAACAGGCCTCAAATGTTCATTTCAACAGAAATACAGGTAAGGGGACTATCAGTCTTCTGTGAGCTGCTGTCACTGAAATTACGTTTCTATACAGATTCCAGCCACAAAATCTTGAACCCCTACTGCAAATGCCCTTTCCCTTTGCTATACCTATAGCTGAATTTAATGTGATTTAGACCTTCCTGCTTGTCTCCATTTTTTTTTGACATGATGTTGTGGCCATAAAATTAGCAGGTCACCCATTCCCAATTTACCCCCAACCCCCATTAATAAGCAAATTGAAATATTGGGTTTTGCATGGAAGCCACACAGCTAGCACAACTTCTGATTTCTAGTGTTGATTTTCCTACGTGGATATGTGCAAGTCACTCCAGTGTCTTAGTTTCTTTGCCTTAAGGTGGTAGTAAAGGTACCCTTCACTACTTATCTTACAGAATTGCACTGCTATAAACAATTATTTGGTCCTGTAAAGGCCTGGCAAGTTTTATTCTAGCACTTCCTGTTGAATGTCAGTGGCTTGGCCTGGATCTTCCCCTCAGGATCTGCAAGATCCTGTGCTTCTGGCTTGCTTGGCCTGAGCCCAAGCAGAGATAGAAAGAATTGTCTCAGGAATGTGTTCCCACCATGTCTTGCAGTTGCCTCTTGCCTGTGTCAGGTTCCCTGCGCCAGTCCCAGGTTTGCAAACCCCAGGAGCAGAAGGCTGGAGAGATGCAGTAGGGTCTTCCTACCCTAAAGCCTCTAATGTAGGCAAGTACAAAACATTGCTACATAGGCTGGACAATTTTTGTCTTTCTTCTCATGACATGGCTTTTTTTTCCTCAGAAGGGTTGGGAGTGCTGAGTTACCTTAAGGCCAAAGGGCAGAGTCAGGAGAATAGGAAACCACAGGGAACTTCTGTTGTTGGGGGTTTCAGCTTTACAGGGGACAGGTACTGCAACACCACTAGCATTCCCACTTGAGGGAAGAAATGAGAGGGAACATTCTGAGTGATCCCTAAAGGTAGACTTCTACATCCTTGTTCTTGCAGATGCTGCACAGTACCTTTATTTTCTTTAAGCACAGCATTAATTAATTATCATCTAAGGTATATTATGCCTCTGCCTAATTTAATTGTTGGAAATGCAGAAACCTCTCTTGCCACCCCATCTCCAATTAATGGCGAGGAAAAGAATGTTGTGCTCTGTCATGCCCAGGGACAGATTAAACAGACTGAGCTGATGCTGTTCTCTTTAACTCTTGTGAGTCAATAGACGGAAGGGAAAATGTATGATTTTGCTAATTAAAAATACAATAATAATCATAAATATTTGGTGTCTGCAATAAGAACAGTTCAAAGCCCACCTGATATCTCCAGAGAACATTATTGTGTTCTCAGTGAATAAATTAAAGTAGACTCTGCTAGGGTCACCAGGGTGGTCAGCAGTCCACACATTACTTGCATTATTCAGGTTCAGACCAGTCCTGGTTCTCAGAGAGAAAACAAAAGTTTGCCCTGATCAGAGATGAGGTCACTGATGGGACAAGGTGAGCTTGCTGTTTTATGCTTTGTAATTGATGAGAGAACTTTACCATTTTTTTTAAACACTGGTTACCATGGAGCAGTCAACTGAAAGCATCCTTATTTAAAATGTTTGCTCTTGCATCCTTCAAAAAAACCCTGAAAAGCGACATGTCCTTGGATTATTACAAGATTTATGTTTGTACAAAAACATCTTGACCGGATTTGGGGAATTCAGACTGAGATGCAAACAGCCAGCAGTTGGCTGTGATCTTTTGCAGCGTTTTACTTTAAAAAGGTGTGGTCTTCTGATATCGCCTGCTACAAAACTCCACAGGGGGCATTTTTTCCCCCTCCTTGTCAGACAGCTACACCCTTCTGTGATGCAGTTTAGCTCGTAACCCATCTGCTTGTGGGCAGTGATGTAAACATACCAGCTGCCTCTGAAGAACCACTCTGAATCCTGCAGGAGGCAGGTCTCTTCCCCGAGCATCGCTCTCCTCTGCAGCATAAGTCACTGTCTCGCCAACCACGCTGTGCTGTCCCTAAACCCTCACATCTACCCATCTGAGAGTCAGATCGAGTAATCCTCTTACAGGTCAATGATTTTTGCAGTGTAGCTTCGTTTAAGGGATTTAAGCTCGATTCGTAATGTGCTACCATTGTGTTGAAATGGAAAGGCTTGCTTAGAAGGGGCTTGGCTGGCACGAAAGCTTCTCGTGGTGTGTCCCACCAGCACAGAGAGACGGTGGGAAGGAGGAAACCTAGCAGCAGTGCCAGCACTGCACTGAAAATGAAGGCTCTCCTGTTACTGGTCCTACCTTGGCTAAGTCCTGCAAACTACATAGACAATGTGGGCAACCTGCACTTCTTGTACTCCGAGCTGTGAGTACGCACAGTCGCGCTGGCATCGTGCTCTCTGTCTGTCTGTCTGACCTGAGTGGCGGGAAGGGGCTCACCATGAGTGTCGGGGGTCTGTCTGCCTGTGTGTCTGTGCCTGTGCATACGTGTGAAGAAAATCCTGCAACCTCTTGCCAACAGCTTCACACCGTGCTGCTTCCCATCCGGAGGGCTAATAATAGCAGTACGTCCCCATTGCTTTCTGCCTTGGAAGCAGCTGAGACGTACTGAATGAAGCTGCTTTCTCCCTTATCAACTTGTTTTTCTGTGCTGTTGTTTTAGGTGTTCGTTGGTTTGGGGTTTATTTCCATTTCCGAGTCCATGTTTTTCCTTTATTCCTGTAAATAGCCTAGTGGGGATCTGGGTATAGGGGAGGGCATCAGGATAGACACCCCCAGTAGAGCACTGTCTGTGTACATGTATAATGTTCTGTGTGTAAAGCTGCATGCCTGTAGCAAAACGCTGAGAAGCCTTTCACCAGAAATAATTCACTTGAGACAGAAGAGAATTTTCCCGTATTTCTGTTTTTGCCTACAGCAGAATGTTATTTTTTCTGTAAAGCAAATTTAACTGTAGCAATCCGTTCATATATCTTCATGCTTTTAAAAATCCCACCTCAAACGACCCCATAGCTGGTCTTCCCAACCCATAAAACAAATATTCTATGGTATCTTCTGTAAATGTTACTACTTTAATTTGTGCTTGAATGTTATTGTACTAGTTAGTGGAGCTTTTATGACTAGAAATAGCTATTTACTTCACTATGTTTTCATTAATTACGTGTTGTTTGTATTTTAACAAATTGTCAACTTTCAAGATTTTCATTGAGATAACGTGAAATGTCTAATTCTCTCAAAAATGAAAAATTACTGTATTATGCCTACAGTGGGAATATTTTAGTAACAGTTGTGATTAGTACCAAAGAGACTAATTTTCAAATTATTTTGTCTCTACTGTCAGACAAAAATAGCAGTGTTTTGCAGAAACACAAAGTCCCCTTTTGAAATCCTTGTGTGATGTGCATGGCAACTATTAATAATTTAGTCACACTGCGTACAACAGCTAAGGATTTCTGTATGC